TCAGTGTACTCGTCTCTAAGCTGAGTTCTCAGAGTTGTGAGGGTTACCTGGGCTGGCACTTAGCACAGGGCCAGAACACAGAATGTGCTAGACAAATTTTATTTTTGTCTCATGTAATTCTCACAAGAACCCTATGGGGGATGCATTATTCCCATTTCATAGATCTGAAAACCGAGATTCCAAGGGCGTAACCAGACTGCCAAGGTCATATGCCTAATAAGGGGGGTGGGGTTAGAAGAACAGGCTGCAGAGGAGAGACAGAGGTAGGAAGAGGGGGGTGTCTCCCAATGGGACAAAAAGGAGGAAATGTGAGAAGAAAGCGCCTGCCAGTTGAAGGGCAGGGCTCTTGAAGGTGATTATTTCTCACTCCACAGGAGGTTTTTCCCCTGAGTGCAGGACACTTCCCACTGTAAGCCGTGAGGAAGTCTGGACTCTTACCAGGTCCCTGAAGAAGTGAGTCATCCCTTAAGCTTGAGATCCCAACACACACAAACCACAGGCATAAAGAAAACTCATTGTGCTGCACCTGCCCACCCTCAGCCTCTCCTTCCCTCCTTAACTCCAGTGACCCACGAACATCACTGATGGAAAAGATCGCATGAACCTTAAGGGAAAAGTTCCACCACCATTTATACTGTCCAGTCCTGACAACACTTTTTAAAAGATTTATGTATTTATAAGTGACAGAGGGAGAGAGAGGTGGCCTGACAAAATTTCATTTACAAGATAGTTTGTAATTTAACTGCGATGAGAGCCAAGTCTCGTAGTGGTGCTCTCTAAACTAGGGTGTGAACTGGAAGCCATGCAGAGCTCACCATGGTGAGGGGTGTGGTAGTGACTGCTTCTCCGCCTTTTCCAGCTACTCAAGGCCACCCACTCACGGTGCCTTCCTCCAAAGCCGGGAGTCCAGCGTCTCAGTCTCTTTCTAATCACATCCCCGCCTCTGTTGTCACTTCTGTCATTGTATCTGTCCTCTAGGTCACCACATCTTCTGACTCTCCAGTCTCCTCTTACAAGGACCCTTATGACGACGCGGGGCGCCCCGAAACTATCTGAGACAATCTCCACACCTCAAGGTCCTCCATAGCACCTGCAAAGTCTCTTGTCACATCTGGTATTGATAGGTTCCAGGGACAAGGATACGGCCATCCCGCTGCGGCCAACTGAGTGAACCATGGGATGGAGGACCTCTCTATGCCTCTCCTCTCTCTGTGTAACTCTGACTTTCAAATAAATAAATAAATCTTTTTTTTAAAAAAGAAGGATATGGCCATCTTTGGGGCGCCAGTATTCTGTATCTCACGGTACACTACCTAACTGTTCTAGCTCGTTGCTTGTTTATAATCTATGGAAACCCAGTGGTTTTATACAATACATCCAGGCTACAAACACCCCCCATAAATATTGCCTGATGTTGTCCTCAATCTTTTCATCATTAAAAAGACAAATTAAAGTCTAGATATTGATGTGAATATTTAAGCTGGAATCCCTTTTATATTGTTGGAAGCCCATTTTTACTCTCTATTTCCAAAAGGCTAGCCAAGGGTTTCCTTGGCCAATTCCGTGATGGCCACATCGGCCCTGCTTTCTTAGGCAGCACAACCTCAACAAATCAGAGGAGCTAGCCACCTGGTCCTCTGGCCATTTATTCTACTTCCTCCCCCCCACCCCCATCAAGAGCAGTTAAGGCTCAGAAATCCAACCTTGAGACTTGATCTGGCTGTCCAGCATGGAAGCGTGGTTCCTGGACTTCAGGATGAAATTGAGGTTCACGGAAACATGAAGGGCCTGTGTAAATCTCTACTACAGGCAGAATCTAGACGCGTTCCCTGGTGGGATGCACTGGGTTAGCCTTTTATGGCTTCCCCATAAGGGGAACACCGCCTCCCTAGGGGACATTCACAACGGTTGAGGTGTCTTGATCATGGCCAAGGGAGGGAGGTAGCTGCAGGCATTGGCGTGGGAGGAGGCCAGAGTCTACAGTTCACAAGGAGTGGGTAGAGTTCTGCACTATGAAGAACAGTGGCACCCCCTCCCAGGGAAGCAGACGGTCCCCTCCCCGGCTTCTTCCCCATGTTTACCTGAATCCCCCTGTTTCTCATGCTTTAAGGGACCCACCATTTTCGGCATAACTAAAGATACTTAAGCCAGTTTTCCTACTCCAGTAGTCACAGTTCATATGACAAACAATGGTAGATGGTGGTGTAAGTGAAAACATGACTAGTTTGGAAAGATTGACCTTTGTCCACAAAGCTGAGTTCATACTGAGAGGCCCTAAATCCCAAAAAGATTGTTAGACCTCTCCACCACGTAATTCAAAATAAAAATGGCACTATAAAAAAAATCTAGATTTCTTTGTTGTTGTTGTTGAAGATGCATGTGTGGGGGCCAGCACTGTGGTACGGTAGGTTAATCCTCTGCCTCTGGTGCGGTATCCCATATGAGCGCAGATTCTAGTCTCAGCTGCTCCTCTTCCCACCCAGCTCTCTGCTATGGCCAGGGAAAGCAGTGGAGGATGGCCCAAGCACTTGCTCCCTGAACCCATGTGGGAGACCTGGAAGAAGATTCTGGCTCCTGGCTCTGGGTTGGCTCAGTTCCGGCTGTTGCAGCCATTTGGGGAGTGAACCAGCAGATGGAAGACCTTTCTGTCTCTCCCTCTCGCTGTCTGTAACTCTACCAATTAAATCTTTTTTTTTTTTTTTTTAAATGTATGTGTGTATGTATGTATTTGAAAAGCAGAGTGACAGAGAGGGAGGGAGACACTGATATCTTCCATCTGCTAGTTACTCCTGAAATGGCTGCCAAGAGCCAGGTCCGGGCCCGGAATGAAGCCAGGAGCCAGGAACTCCAGCCAGGTCTCCCACCTGGGTGCAGGGGGCCAAGCACTTGGGCCATCATCCTCTGCCTTCCCAGGAGCATTGGCAGGAAGCTTGACAGATGCAGAGCAGCCAGGACTTGAACTGCTGCTCTGATCTGGGGATGCCCACGTCACAGGCAGCAGCCTAAACTGCTGCATCATAGCTCCAGCCCCACTACTTAGATTTTTTTCAAAAATAAATATCAAATGCATTAAAAATTATTTTCTTATTTCTTTTGGTAGCCCTGCTTTATAGTGCTCAATGTATGTGCTTTATCCATTTTTTTTGGCTGTTCACTGGATGAAAATTATGAAGAATTATTCATTTGAGTTTAGTTATGGAGTCAGTTGTTGACAAGTCCAAAGTGATGGGCAAGTGTGCTACTTGCTGTGTCCCGGATCTCTTGCAGAGTTCCAGTTCTGGCTCCATTACTTATTAGCTAGAAGACTGTGGGTAAGGCATTTAATTGTTCAGCTTGTCTACAAAATGGACATAAGGGATATGCCTGTATTTTCAGAGAGGATCTACTTACGAAGCAAGGAGGCTAATTTTGGTCCACAGTTTTGAAGGTTCACAGTCCAACATCAGGTGGCCCCACTGGTCTGGTGTTTGATGAGGGTAATGGGTGGTGGAACACACCTGGAGGGGAGATCACAATGCAAGCCAGGAAGCAGAGGGAGAACAGCCAGACCCGACTCAGCCCATACAACCAACACTCTCTCGGGAACTGCCTTCCACAGGTACACCTCCGCGGCCTACAGAACCCGCACCGGTCCATTTGCTAAACAAGCCTCCACGCTTAATGCTAACCGTACCATTAATCTATTAAAATAAGACTTTGGGGACCAAGCACCCAGTACAGGGCCCTCGGGGGACAAACTATTGTCCCAAACCATAACAATGCCTCACTCTGTGCAAGCATTCAATGAAGGTGTATGTGTCTGATGTCACCCAAGTGCTCAGTGTCTTAACTATTATTAATAGTATTCTTATTCTTTTTCCACACTTGCCATTCCTCAAACACCTTCGAATACCTATGGTGTGTCAATCCCTGCACTCTATCCTGAATAAATAAATGGGCAGAACATTGTCCTGATCTCAGAATTTATAATCTAGACAGGAATAGGTTTCTAAATAAGCAAATGAAACAAACATTCATAAATTGCCTGGTCAACAGCAATTGTTAGATACTATTCATAAATTGCTGGTCAACAGCAATTGTTAGATACTATTGATTGTAGCCATGCATTCTGATTTGTTATGTTAAAACATGAAAAAGGTGTATGGCCAGTTGAAATGCAGTATATCTAAGAATATACGTAGATGCGGACATGAGTATTAGGGAACCATTCAGGCTCTGATGCCCTCCTGTCTCACTTTGTTTACAACCCTGTTCCAAGCCTATCCTACACAGTTCATTTATCCACTGGGATGGCGGGGAAGCTTCCCCCTTTCCCATAAAACCAAATTCAAACTGTTAGCCAGGGCACATTCAACCTTTTACAGTCTTCTTCTACCTCTCCACCCCACCTTCTTATATTCTACCATGCTTCTTTGTCTTCCAACCCCTGCTTCTTTGCATTGTAACCCACATAATCCTTTCCAAAGATGTTTACCCCCTCTTTGGAATATCTACTGCATTTATCAGTTCCCTGAATTGAATGTTTATCTATTCTCATTTACTGTCAATTGACTTCTCAACAGTACAAGAAATTTTTTTATGACAGAATACATTTGTGCTAGACTCACATAACCACACTAAATGTACTAACTTTCGGGTTAGTACTTTCAGATAATTACATATAGGTTTATTTAATAATTCTTGATAGTAACTTGCTTATAGGTAAAAAAAATTAGCCAAGTACCAGAAACAGCAAATTAACCATAACTACATTATCTATAAGCTTAACACTTACATTAAAAAAAATTTGCAAGATCATGTGGTATTAGTGTTTGCAGTAAGTTACCCTCTCAACTTCTATGACAATTTTTGCTCATGTTTTGCTTTCTCCCACACCACTGACCTGTAATCTGTTACTCTGTACACCAACAACATTGCAATTTCCCCTTTCAACACCTGAAACCCACCTCTCTTCCAGATAGTCCACCCTAGTAGAAAGGGGAGGCCATATGCACAAAACAGATATTAAAATTAGTTTATTTTTCTACTTAACTTTTAATAAATGAGAAGAAAACACAGTAGTCTGTCTCATATAGAACATTTATAATACATAACAATCCATAAAGCCTCATGGTGAGGTAGGAACAGCTTTGGAAAATAACAGAGTCATAAAACATACAAAAAGTTAGGTAAAATGTTGCAGCACTAAAGACGTTTAATCTGCATCTGCATTTAATGAGATGATAACTGCATTTAACTGTGCCACATCTGGCCCAAAAGACAGGTGACAGCAGACACAAAAACAACACAATATTGAAGTTTCAAAGAATCACAGAATACACTGATACACTTCATTGTGCTGTTTCAAGGCAGAACCATAACATGGCAATTTGTGTCTTTTTATATATAACCACATATTAATTGTATGTTACATTCCCTTCAGCGTCTTTTTGCCAAAGACACTGGATAATAAAATTTTTGGTTTAAAAGTTTAAATTGAATAACATACAAAAGGCTCTTGTGCCAGTGAAAATGACTGCCAACTGTTCCAGAGCTTGTTAGTAAACAAAATAGCATTGCCATATATTGGCAGAGCTACATTAAAATAGTGCTATAACAATTCCCACTCCAGAGACTGTGAAACACTGTAAGACACAGTTTCAACTCAAACAAACAACAAAAACCCCTCCACCTTCCCAAGAGTTTTAACACTGTTTTATGACTTTACTGAAACTCAGTATTAAAATAAATATTTTTATATTGTAGAATTACTCTCCGTATCTGCGTATGTGTGAACATCTTAAGACAGCAGGTTAATGACATATTAAGCATTCAAATGCTATTTGCTTATTAAAGTAAAACATCTTGAATTCAATACCAGTTAACCTACTAAAACATCAGGTTCCAGAGGTTTTTTTGCCTCAAGAATTGCAAACTAACTGAAGATGTTAACAAGACACAAACACGTTTACATACTGAGATTTTTCCAAGGTGTACTTGACAGAAATTTTTCCTTTTGAATTACATACCTTAGTCATTCAACTTTGTTCTTTAAAATGTTAAAATACACAGAGCAAAGTTTTTGATGATTCTACTTTCGAGGTTCTAGTCCCCACTTTTACAATACAGATGCCCTCCAGAGGAAAAAAATCAAACTGAAAGGTGACAGCTGAGACGTGAACCTCTCATCACTGAGGCTCTATTTGGCTTGGAAAAATTTCTGGGGGCACATGCGGCACGTACCTCCCTCTCACTAAACAGAGACAACAAACACGTTTCTGAACACACACTCTACACTGATCTTGCTCAAACAGAAAACAGCCAGCAGGAGAGATGCCACTCCTGGAACTGATGCAGTGTTATAAAAGAGCATATTGAAATATTGGGGTTAAGTCTTCTAGTAACCCGGGGTTATTTCCCTCAATTTCTTTCAGGAAGGAATAAGCTATTTTGGAAATGACACTTAAATTCCACAATATTTAAATATAAAGCATGTCTTCTTTTAAAAAGATAATGCTAATATAGCTAAAAAAATTGGGTTAGAAAGTGCATTTTAAGAAATAAATAAATTGGCTAAAACTCAAAAGGCAAGTCAGTGCCCACTGATTCTGCTATGACAAAGTCCTTTGAAAACAGAAAATCCTATGGTACCACTGTTACATAGAAGCTACCAAAGAAATTATGAAAACTAAATAACTAAAACATGAAGGCTTCTACCTTCAAAGCACTTTTGAAAAATAAAACATAGCCCTTGTCCCATGCTTATAATTTTTAAAAATCCTCATTCAGGTTCTATTTTATACATATGTGTTAAACCACCTTTAAGATACAGACCCCAAATACAGCATTTGCGAAGAATACCCCACTGAGTGCAATATATCTTACCAGTTACTGTATCATCACTGTTTATATGACAAATGGGCAAATCAGGAATGTACATGATACAGTACAATTTGAAGCTTTCTCTCTTGTTCACCCAGATAAGGAGATTCTTCAATTTTATGTTTAAAGAAATCAAACACAAAGCTTTTTGCAAAATTCAAAATAACCACCAGCTAATGAACTGAATTACACAATATCAGATAACAGTATTAAAAGATCAGGATGTATTGCAAATTGGCAGGTTATGGTTTTGGCCCATTATAGTAAATGTGAATTTACAAACTATGTTCCTAAAATTACCTCATTCTCATTGGAAAAATCAGCTGTTCTTAAATAGGCCCATTGCCTGCAATAGGCTTACCCTAGGAAAAAGACACACCATCTACCACAAAAGATCATCCCTTTAAAAAGTCACTGGCAAATTCCAACACTTTCATCTTAAGACCTATTAAACAAGGAATTATTTCAAATCCCAAAAGGTAGCCATCCGAAAAGTAGTCAGCTATAAAAGTTACTGAAGTAGTCAGAATACCTTGTTTCTAGAAAAATAGAGCTATACATGATAACTGATATTAATATTCATCCTTTTGAGGACAAAAACCTACATTTTCTTCACAAAGCACAACTTTATCAAGAAAAATATAACTTAAAATACTCTTAAATAACGTTTTTGTTGGATTTGAAACCTATAGCAATAATCAAATAGCCAAGAACAATTTCCTGCGTGAACTGTGGCACCTTGCAAATAAGCTGCTATTGAAGATATGATCAAGGTCAAGACAGGATCACTTAAAGAATTCTAATTTTGCCTAAATTATAGTCTGCTTTCTAAGAATTTAATATCCAAATTGCATTAAACATCTTATTTTCTCTCTCAAGTCAGTGGCTCTTGGCAAAGCACAGGCATCACTGATTGTGCTGGAAAAGCTGTTTAAATCCAGTCATGATTGGTCACCATGAAATGACTTTAACTTTTGAAAAGTTTTTTTTAAAAACATCCACAATTTAAAAGATCACATTTCTTGCACTTACCAAGTAATTATTAGACTAAATTAGCATCTTTAAACATGTCAGTAAATTTTCAGCTCAGTGTCTCTAATACCAATCTTTGAGAGAAAGTAATGCTGGTGAACATGTCCATGTTTTAGACTCACTTTGGTAGAATGAGTTGAAATTCTCAAAAAAACTTAGAAATGTAGTCTGGAAATTTATAATAATCTAAATAGTTTAATAAACTTTCTTTCCTGCTCTTAGTCTCCACATGCTATTATGTGTAAGTTTAATTATCTCACTGTACATTAGACAAATACTCAGCAATTTAGAATAGAGAATAGCAGCTGATCTTATTTCCTACTAATAGCTATGAGTCACTGAAAAATATGCTGCCATTCTGATCTCAAAGAAAAAGTAAATATTAACTAAGATGTCAGAGGAAACAAACTTGTTGATTTTTAAAATTCTAGCAACTATAATTCTAAGTGTAACAACGGGGAAAAGAAAAGCAGAGAAATTCCAGTAACAATTTTAATTTATTTATCCCCCTAATTTTTATCACGGGAAAACCGGAAATCAAAAACTGGAAATCAAATGTCATTATGTTATATAAGGTTTATACTTACTTTAAACAAAAATGTAACATAGTGTTAAAACTGGCTTTCCAAAATCATTACAGCATAGCTGTATTCTGTGCTAATAATCACCAAGTTGTAATATAGAACTCTGGTATGCAGTCCCATTATGTTCTTACAAAAATAGAATTAAATTGTGTGACCAGACAAGGGCTTCAATTATGCTACTTGGCAAACTTAGAATTTCAATGGAGTCTTTTTCCTCTTGCAGTTTAAAGCAAAAGTCAAATATCACATCTTTTTTAAGACTCACAAAGATGATTCAGGTTGTTTGTTTGGCATTTTTTTAATCTCTATCACAACAGCAGGGATGTTTTCACCTTTAGTCCTCCTGGGCTTCTTCTCTAGATTGTCACTAAGTTCTAAACAAGAAATGCTAACTGTTGGGGCCTTTTCTCCATCCTTTCCAGACTGGGCCTGTGGCCGTGTCCCACAACATTGCTTCAAAGCACACTGAGTTCTGCAGGCAAGTTCACACGGGACTACACGGGACTTAGAGCCTACACTAGCAAATTCAGGCTGAATGGTGGTAGCGTGAATTCCGTGATTATGAAAAACGTCTTTAATGGTTTTAGCCACCTGCATGTATGATGTTGGGTCTTCACATTTTATGTGAGCAGTGGCAATGATCCTGCTTCCGGCAAGTTGCCAAACATGCAATTCATGAACTTCCTCAACTCCTTCAACATCTCGAAGTTCTTTTATCAAATTTCTGATATCAATTTGCTTAGGAACAGTTTGTAGAAGGATAAGAGCAGATTCCTTAAGTAATGGGTAAGTTGTATAAAGAAGTATACAAACCATTACAACACAAAGAGTTGGATCTAGATACAGCACCCAGCAAGGACCAGCCTCATGAAGTGATGCATGAGTACTATTAATTATTTCTACAAGTGCTTTGCAGGGATCCAGGGAACATGGGTTCACACAAAAATTTCTCTCTGAACAACCTTTCCAAGAAAAATAAAAGACCAAGGCATTTACTACTACAATCACTGAACCCAAGGCATCTCCAAGGACATGCAGAAAAACTCCACGCATGTTAAGTTGTCCAGCCCTATCGTCTTCTTCCAATTTCATATGCTCAGGTTCTCTGATAAGATTCCCATTCACTTGTACTTCCACAGCATCATCACTTCTAGGTTTTTCTGGATCTACAAAGAAATAAAAATTCGTATCAAATACATTTAAAATGTTTATATAAACATCCTTGCTAATCCAACTTATGAAGGTGAAAATGTTTTCATAAAGCATGATGAAAGTGTGCTCAGAGCAATTTAATATAAATTGGCATTCTGGGAACAAGCCAAGACCTAATGGTCAGGGCTAAATTAAGTCATTAGGATACTGCTTTTCCATTCTGGTAACACCTCCCCCTCCTGCAAAAAATAAATAAATAAATATAAAAATCCACACATCTTTTCTATGGGTGTGGAATCCTATAAAGATTCTGCTGTAGTTCTTGGCATATACAACAAGGAAAACATAAAACTGAATGCCACCACCCAATAAGTGCAGCCATGGATAAGTCTGCTAATACAAAATGCTTGATTTGACACTGGCTCCACTCACTCTCACCAAGGTCAACTTTTGACTTTTAGACACTTATCATGAATATAAAAGATAATCTCTTGGTACAGGGGGCTTAAAAACTGACAAGTCAACAATACAAATCAACAATCACTGACACTTCAGGAACTGGAACCATGAGGCCAGTGCTGTGACACAGCCGCCTGCAGCCCCAGCTCCCTGCTGGATAGCAGAGGATAGCCCAAGTCCCCAGGCTCCTGCCACATGGGAGATCAGGGGGAGGCTCCTGGTTCCCAGCTTCGGCCTGGTCCAGCCCCTGCCCTTGCAGCCATTTGGGGAGTGAACCAGTGGATGGACTATCTCTGTCTCTCCTTTCCTCTCTGTTAACTCTGACTTTCAAATTAATTAGGGTTGCTCCTTAAAAATAAAGAAAAAAGAAAAATTGGAACCAAGCGATTATTACCTACCCCACTAGCTTTTAAGGTGAGAGAGTTATCTTTTAAAAGAACTACACACCAGTTTAGCTTGATTTCTTTGGACTATCACCCTGCCTGGTGGATGAGGGGAGATACATTAGACCCTTTCAGTGCACAATGTGAACCTCATCAACAGGAGATACTGCACCAAAAGGGGAAAACTGCACCTCGTATGATAAACTGGATGAATAGCAATGGAAAAAATGGGAGGAAATACACAAACTGTTTACATGGCTGAGCTTGGGTAACATGCCATTGCTTCGTTTGCTGGTTTATTTTTCCCCACTTCCTTTCAACATTTATTTTCCAAATTCTCTTCAAGAGCACTTATGTTAAAGGAAAAGCATTCATTAAAAATACACGATAAATAAATTAGCGTCACTTTCCTTTTGGTCTTAAGGGAAGTACATGTTAACCCCGGACAAACCCCTAGGATTTTCAGGATTGGGGATCGATGAACTGAAAAATACATTGCGGCTCATAAACGAAACCTTTACCCAGGGCTCATGCGCTCTGAAGGCAACGTTACGAAACTTGTGCAGTGGGCACGGGACTACTTGGGCTGGGCAGGGTCTCAGCCCCCAAGTAAGGACGGACAGGGGGTCCCCTCCGTTCCCCAGGGGGGCCGCCGAGGGCCTGGATTCCGAAGCATTTTTGGAGCTGTCCCGCCGACTGCCCCGAGATGCGGCCCCCTCTGCCTCTTCCCGCCGCGGCAGACCCACCGCCCCCCGCTCCTCCCACCCGGCCCGGGTGGGTCCGGCTTCCTCGAGCTGCGGGGCTTGTGCGGGCCGTGCGGGAAGCCGGCGGCGCGGCCGGGCTCGCGCGGGCGCCAGGGGGCGTCCCGGCCACCCCGCCCAGGGCCAGGCGGGGTGGCCGGGACTCCCCAGACCCAACCACCTGCGGCCGCGACTGCTGCGCTCACCTGCCGGGTCCACCTTGAGTCCGTTGGAGTTGCTGCTATTGGCCACCAAGGTGTTGGTCTCCTCCAGCTCCGGGCCCTGCTCGCCGGGGGCCGCGCTGCCGTCGCTGCCCCCGGCGCGGTTGCTCTTGACGCGGACCCCCTTGGGGAGGCCGTGGCCGTGGCCCCCGTGCGAGTGGCCGTGGCCGGAGTCCTGGCTGAAGCCGCTGTGGTGGTGGAAGAGGCAGAGCCCCAGCACGTTAACCAGCAGCCCGGCCACGCCGACGCCGAGGACCACGAGCGGCTGCTGCATCTCGTGCGGTTCGATGAAGCGCTCGATGGCTTCGAGCAGGATGGCGAAGCAAAGGCCGGTCAGGAAGATGGCGTTCACCAGGGCCCCCATCACCTCGGCCCGGATCCAGCCGAACGTGTTCTTCTGGGTGGCGTGGGTCCGCCGGGCGAAGCGCTCGGCCACCAGCGCCACCACGAGCGCCAGCACGTCCGACAGCATGTGGAAGGAGTCCGAGAGCATCGCCAGCGACGAGGTCACCCGGCTCACCACCACCTCCAGCACCATGAACATGAAGGTCAGCAGCAGCATGCACAGCAGCCGGCCCCGGTTGCGACCCCAGCACCCCATGGCTGCGGCGGAGCGGCCCGGCGACCCGGGAGGCGGCGGCGGCGGCGGCGGCGACCCGGCGACGCGGGTCGGAGGGCGGCGCGGGGCTCTTGCCGCCGGAGTCCGGCAGCTCGGGAAACCGCTGCGGGGCTCCCGCGGCCGCACGGGGGCGAGCCCGGGGTCAAGCCGCTGAGCCCCGCGCCTGCGGGCGTCCTCGGCCGGCCGGCGGCGGCGGCGGCGCGCAGCTCCTCAGGCGTCTGTTCTCCGAGCCGGCGCCGAGGCCCTGCTCAACCCTGGCAGCCCCCACACCCACAGCGGGGCGGAGGCGGCGGCGGCTGTGGTGGCGGTGGCGGTGGCGGCGGCGGCGGGGAGCCGGGACTCCCGGAGCCGAGGGACGAGCAGCCGGAGCAGGAGCAGGAGCAGGCGGGCGGCGGGCGAGGGTGACCCGGAGCTCCGCGCCGAGAGGGCTCCGAGCATCTGAGGGCTCTCCTCGCCGATCTCCGCTGAGAGTGAACTGAGGAGCCCACCGCTGAGGAGCTGAAGAGGCGGCGGCCACGGCAGCTGCACTCGGCCCGGTCTCGGGCGCCTTCTTCGCCCCCCCGCCTTTGCAGACGGTTTACAAAAAAACTTTGCTTTGCACTCGGAACCCCCGTTTTCACACGGACCCGAGCGTGACAAGGCCCCAACGCCACGCCCACCGGGCCCGGAACGTTTTCCCATTGGCCAGGACTCCCTCACGACAGCTGCCCCGCCCCGCCCATCCGCCCCGGCTATTGGATGGAAGCTCGGAGGGGCGGGAGAGGGCGGGGTGGCGGCTCCAACCGATGGAGGCGGGGCCTTTCCCTACAGGAGCCGGGCGTGGGCCGGGGGCCGCGGCCGGGGTGCAGGCGCCGGGGCGTCGTGGGGGAAGGGGTAGGGGGGCCGCGGGCCCGCTCAGACTCAATGCAGAGGGAGGGGCGGGCGGGAACCTCTCGGGCGTTGCCAAGGCCGCGTTAGGTGTGGAGGGGTCCTCGCAGTCCCCCGCACACCTGCCGGGGCCGGGCTGCAAACAGACTTTGATCCTGCCAGTCGAGTCCACGTGGGGGCGGGCTGCGCGGCGGCTTGTGACAGCCCGGCGGCCGGGGAGGGGCCGGGGGCAGCCCCTGCATGCGGGGCCCTCGGGTGCGCGCCCCTGTCAGAGACTCCAGACTCATAAACAAGTGCCGGACGTAACTTGTGACTCTGCCCCGCCGGGCCGAGGAGTTCGTCCTGCGGGCGGCTTTGCAAGTGGCGTGAAGGAGATCTTTGTAAATGTTTCCGTAAAGCAAATTGCCCCTGTCACGCCGCCCCCAGGAGGCCCTGTGTAACGCGGGGGCTTTCTGTCACTCATTACCCAGGGACCATTTAGGGCACAGACTTCAGCAGGAGGACCCTGGGCTCTGGCTCTTGCCCGATCACCGGCAAGTCGTCGGGCCCCTCTCGGCCTGTGTGTTGGTTGCTGAGGGGAAGGATCGATGGCCGAGCGGGACCCGGGCTTCCTTCAGAGCCCCGCGTTCGGAGGCTTTGTGTTTGTGGACCACGCGGCCGAACCCTGCGGTGCTGGTGTTGCTGGGGAGGGGGAGGGGCAGCTTCTGCCCTGGTGGGGGTCACATAGGCGGGTACAAACTTTAAGTGATGACAGAGCCCTCCCTAAGGCGTGTTTATGCACTGGCTCAGATTGGAGATACACGCAGGGTTCCTGGGGCGGCGATTAGCCGATCTGGAGGTGAAGGATTCCTGGTCCAAGTGGGGTGGGCTGGAGCTTAGGATCATCACAGTGGCCTCTCCACTGCCCCTGGTGGGGGAGCTGGCCCCCAGCTGCTCCACATCTGTGCCAGACCAACGCAGTGCCAGCCCTTGCCTTCAGATCAGCACATGAGTTAGGCTACTTTGCATTGTGTGTGGGGGGGGTATTATTAAGTCTATAAAATTCTTTTGCACTTGTATGTGGAGTGTTTCTCAACTCCCCATCTAGTCTGGAGAGCCACATCTTCATTTTCTGTGTTTGTTCTGCTGGGATAGAAAAGAATGGAAAGTTTCCCAGTCATTATTAAGGAAGAATTGACAGAGCTGTGTGATTAATAGGGTATGGGGAGGAAGAAGGCTGCTTAGCAGAATTAAAGATACTCACAGTGCTCCTAATCTGGCAAGGAAACCACTTCCTTGACTAGGTGAGGCAGCCGGGAAGGGGGCCAAGAAGCTTGGTTTAAAGGGGGAAATACGGAGCTCCTTTCCCCCCTTTATGTGAAAAGCAAAGAGCTAGTGAGCGATAGCTTCCATCCACGGGCTCACTCCTCACATGCCAGCAACAGCTAGGGTTGGGTCAGGCTGAAGACAGGAGCCTGGAACTCAACCCAGGTCTCCCACTTAGGAGTCAGGGACTCAAGTGCTTGAGCCTTCGTTTCCTGCTTCTCCCCAGGATGCGGATTTGCGAGAAGCTGGGATGCAAAGAGGAGCTGGGTCGTGAACCCAGGGACTCCGATATGGAATGTCAGTGTCCCAACCTGTGCCTTACCCACTGTGCCAGACATCTGCCCCGAGTTCCATTTTTTAGTAAGAGATTTATTGATGTGAAAGGCAGCATGAAAGAGATCTTTGGCTAGACCAGGCCAAGTCCAGGAGCCAGGAACTCCTCTCAGGTCTCCCCTGTGGGTGTCAGAGGCCCAAGTACTTGCTCCAGCTGCTTCCCAGGTGTCTCGACAGGGCACTGGATTGGAAGCCGAGCAGCGGGGACTCAAACCTGTGCCCCGATGCAGGGTGAGGGATGGCGCCGACCTGCACCACCACAATGCCCGCCCCCTGAGTTCCATTTTTAATGTGCTGAATTTGAGGTGAAGCCTGGATTGGTGAGCTTCAGTTCTTCCATAGTCTCTCCTTTGATATGGTCAATGGGTCCATATCAGATTTTTCTGATCCTATATACACAGCTTCAAACTTTCTTCCTACCAGTCCCTTCCGTATAGAAAGTGGGGAGCCACTTACGGATTCCGAGCCGGTCTCGCGGAAGCCGCCAGGAGGCAGTTGGAAGGCCATTTTGCCTCGCTGGGTCCCTTTAATTAAAAGATTCTTTCAAATGTGAGAGTTTGATACCCAAAGAAGAACCAATACAGAGATGCAAAAGGCAGGCATACTTCACAGATACGGTAGCAATCCTTTAATCACTACACAGACGAGATTGGGAGATGTGTAGGCACATGTTAAAATGGGGTTTTGTTAGGTTCATCTCCATAGGCCATTAGGAGAACCCACTTTGTGTGCGCGCTAAGGCCCAGACAATGTGTTTTATTCTCTCATAAGCTGGCAGGTGCAGGGGGTACGTTTTCCGGGTTGTAGAGAAGTTATGATCACGCCCTCCAGAGAGGGTGATATCATTTACGTAACAGGGAAACATTTCAGTCAAACTTCCCTTTCCCCTAGCATTATGAAGGCGAAATAACGTGGTTCCCTGACTCCATTTTTTCCCTGTTCAGCTGCTTGTGCTGGAAGACTTTAAGCACAGGCAGGAGTGGATTAAAATGAAGGGAAACTGTTCTGTTATTGACCAACACTCCTAGAGGTTGTGGTCTCAGGTTGAGTAATATGGCTTGACTTTTTCTTCTTGAATTTTGAGAAGTCCCTTGATAACTTGCTTAGTATCCAACCGGATTAAACCCAGCATACTTTAAAGATGAGAGAATAATGCTGTTTTTGAAAAGAGACTGCCAATTTGAATGAAAGTCAAGTGCTTAACACAAACCCTGCAGTCTCAAAGCCCTCAGGAGCTTTCCTCGCTCTCCATGACAGTTTAAAAGAATCTTGTAAGATTCTTGTAAAAACTGTGGAACACAAACTCACCTCAGAATTTGGGTTACCAGAAATCGTGAGTGCAAACAGCTGCACCTCGATCAGAAAGGCAGAAGAAACTATGTGAAAACCACATTGCATTTGACTTTGGTTGATCATAAAATCGCTTCTAGTGTTCCATCTTGAAGCAAAAATGATGGGGAAATCAGATTTTGTTTGCCCTTTGGAATGCACTTGAATAATTATTGCAAGTATGAACTGAAATCTCGCGCAGCAACTTGAGTGCCAAAGTTTGATTTTTGAGCTCTTCCCGGAGGAGAATAAACAGGGAACAATGCAGTAATAAAGCCCAGAAACAGCGCGAGAGGTCTCAGAGGTACAAGGGAAGCCCTGTGAAAGAGAGGGGCAGTGCAGGAAGCTCAGGCGGAGGTGGAGGGGAAACAGGAACCCAGTGCAGAGTCCAGGCAGAGGCCTGACCGCCACTCAGCTGTTTCTGTTTGTTAGTTACCTTCAAGAATGGCAGGTGAGGGCTAGCACCAAGGAGAGACTTGTTTTCTTGGAGACTGGAAACTGGATCTAAAATCTCCAGTCATGCCTGGAAATTAAATCTAGGCATAAAGGCCCTGACACCTCTACAGAAAGACTCATTAAAAGCATTTGCGAATTTCTTGCAAACGTGTTACTTACTAACAGAAATCATTGAGGGCTCAAGTAGTCAGAATGAAACTGAACTCCCAGTCATTCATTAGCCCTTCTTGGAGCTGGAGATCCTAATTGAAATACAAAACACAGAAGTTCAAGAAAGAATAAAATTTAATTCAAAGGTGTGTTTTTATGACATTTTCCATTACTTGTCCATAAGGATGATGCCGGCTGGGAGAGGGTTTGAAAGGATCCTATATGCCTAACAGGTTTTAGAATGATAGGACGCTCAGGGAACTGGCCCTGAGAAGTTGCTGTGTGACTTTGCAGGAGTTCTTAACCCTCTCTGGGCCCCACTTTCCACATGTCTTCAGTGAGTGGTTGTACAAGAGGGCTTTTCTTATCCAATCAGGAGGTAATGAAGCAGGAGGGCCTGTAGGGTGGAGACTTGAGATGGGGCCTTTCAGGCTTCCTGGGCCTTGAGGGCACAGGTGTCAACTCCTACATTCAGAAGTGACATGTGAATTATTTCACCTGGGGAGGGGGCTCAGGGGCTCTTTCACACGGGCTCAATAAAAGAACTCATTTGCTAGCCAGATCCCTGGTTTCTTCACT